CAGGGAAACAAGCCTCTCGCTTCCAGAAGACTGATAAAGATCTATTAATGCACATGTTTGTTCATTGCGATAATTTAGAGCATATTCACAAAGTGATTAATGTTAAAACAACAATCAAATTTGGAACAGTAAGAGATGGGTATCTTCCTTTCCTTGCAATTCTAACAGAACATTTTATGTGATTCACTGGAACTATTAGTCCCTGTTTTATTGATTCTATCCCATTTATCTCTATTAAAGCAAAATATCTGACATTAATGGCTTCACTGGATGAGCCCACTGGTGCAGCAAAAATCAAGATGAGAAAACATTCATTTCCCTAAGATGTAGACATAAAATTTGAAGTGATATTCGCTGAACAAATATACTTAATAATTGCACACTCCACCAGCAAGGTACTACTGTTCGTGGTAGCTTTTAATTCTTATTATTTTTGTTGGAAGCAGGAGGTTAGTTTTCCTGATTACAAGCATTAATGCTTAATTCTACTGCAGCTAATTACAATACACATTGAAGGACTTGAGCTAACCCTTTATGTAAAATAAAACGAGCAGCGAACTAATGTAAAACTGTAAATTGTCACTTATCATTAATCCCTCCTCCAGTAAAGACAAACAAAAGGGTCAAAATAATATCAACACTACCAAACTGAACAAATAGTTATTCCTACACAATTTAAGATATAAACTTGAAATGTTCCATCAGCACAGGCAGCACAGTGGCTCAGTGGTTAGCTTTGCTGCCACAGAGTGCCAGGTACCCAGGTTTGACTCCAGCTTCGAGCAACTATCTGTGTGGAGTTTGCACATTCTTCCCGTGTCTGCATGAGCTTTCTCCGGGTTCTCAGGTTTCCTCCCACAGTCCAAAGATGTGTAGGTGGATTGGCCACGCTAAATAGTCCATAGTGTCCAGGGATGTGTAGGTTAGGTGTGTTAGCAATGGGAAATGCAGGGATAGGATAGGAGGATGGGTCTGGGTGAGATGCTGTTCAGGAGGTCTGTGTGGACATGTTAGGCCAAATGGCCTGTTTCCACATCATGGGGATTCTATAATAAAAAAAGGATTTGGAAATGCATCAGACAGAGGAAAAATCAACAACTACAAGCATAATGATCATGACCTTTTCATTACACCCATGTGATAATGTTTTGGTAATACTCCAACCCAACATAAAATGTCACGTAAATCTGTAGAACCACGTCAACATTAAATAATAGAATTTTATAGCAAAGGAGGCCATTTGGCCCATTGTGCTAAGGGTGAATAAGTCCCTATTCTCCCAATTACTCCACTTTAAAAGAAAATCATCCATTTCCTTTTTATAAGTTATCTTCAATTCTGACTCCATATTGTATCTAACAGAGCATTCCTTGCCTAAATGGCTGATCCTTAACAAATGTTCATTAATTTATCCTTTTTTTTGTGATGATCTTAAATTTTTGCCCTCTAGTTGCCAACTTCCCAAAGCATGGGAAATAGCATTCTTGTACTTACAATATTGGAGTACCTTTTTATTTTCTAGCACTTTTACCAAATTTCGTCTTAATGAAAACAAATCCAAGGAGAGAACCTTGGACGTGGAAACATATTCATAAATCACTTATTTACTCCATGTCCTTTACATTTTTCTGACATAGGGTACACAAAACTAAACACAATTCCCAACTACAGTGTAATGAGTTATTTGTATTACATTAGCATCATCACTTTTTCTGTGAACTTGATGCTCCTTTTTGTAAAATCTGTGATTAAATTATTATGCTTGGATCAACGATCTATCCCAATGAAAGATTAGCTGCCTGAACTTTTAAGTTGCTCTGCTACTTTTAAAGTTTTATCAGTTAGCGCATTTTTATCTCAGTTTCCTCCTAAAATGTATCATCTTCTCTATATTAAATTTTGTTCAGCATCTATCTGCCCAAATCGCATAAAGGCCTGCTCATAATAAATCACATCTTTATTTTCCTGTCATTGGTGAACTTTGACTATGTAACTTTTATGTTCAATTCCGAATGGTGTAATCAGATTAAGAAAACCATTGGCTTAGATACCACAGCTAACATCTCTTGAATACCTTTTTTTAAAATTACTAATTGTTATTCTCTGTCACATAACCATTTTGCTTTCCAGGCTGCCATCTTTTCTACAATGTTACAAGTCCTTGTTTTATCAAATACCTGCGATGTAGTTTTGTTAAAAAAAAATCTTTGTTATTCTATGCACAATATTTCTTTTCAATGCAGTTATTGAGCAAAGGTTTATATTGAAATTTAAAGATCCAAATTACTTTCTACAAATGTGTGCTAGCTATCTTTAGTAACTCATGTCTTTCTAAGTATTAACTTGATCCCATGTTATGGCCTGTAGACACATATCCACTACCAGTATCCACAGTTACAAGATTTTTTTTCCTTTCTCCCTTTTTAAATGATGTGTTACATTGGCACCCTTCCAGTCCTCAGCCACAAATCTTATTTCCAAAAAAAATTTGAAGGATTGTGGTCGAAGTCTCTGCTGTTTCCTCAAAATTTTGGGATACATGCCATCTGAACTGAATATCTATTCCATCATTTGTTGAGTGTTACTTTTGAGACAAGTGCTTACTTTATTTCTTGAGATTTAGTGCTTATAAAGGGTAATTATTACATCATAATAATTATTCAATTTCAATACAGCAGTATTCATATAATAAAAATGCATATTCTCTTGTGAATTGGCAAAGAAATGGATGCCACCACCCAAGGGTAGCTAGAGTCTCTCACTATACAGAGTATGAAGTATTGTGTGAATTATTTATCTACAGTATTTCTGAAGCATTTGGAAAGAAAATGGCTGCAGTAACTTTTTATGTATTTGTATCCTCATTACTGTAATGAATGAACTGAGAGTTACCAAGCTTCAGACACAGGTACACGATTGTCAGAAAAATATGTACATTTATTTTAGCGTCTATCACGACCTCAGGACGTCTCCAATTGCTCTACAGCGATTACGAAGTAACTCATGAGTGTAGTCACTGCTGAGAAGGACCCACAAAGAAATTCGCCAGACGTGTCCCAAGGCGCAAGCATTGTAGTAATTGCTAATGGGGTTTTATCCACCATATCTGCTTTCTCAACCTGCAGATGAAGGACAAAACCTTGCAATGTATCAACAGTTCATGAAAATGTTGAATGTACTTACACTTGAAGTTTGACGACTCCCATTTCCACCAGAATACCTCCCAATTTAAATACGCGTAAAGGCCTGTTTTTCTTTGAAGGTAAAATAATCTTTCTGGGAAATAACTCGAGTTACGTAACTCAAGAGAACGAAACCCCTACTGATCATCAATTTACATGGATCAAGTTGATTTATTTCCCAGAGAACCTTTTCTTGTCTAGTTGTCTGGATTTTGACCTGCAAACTCAGCAGTGCAAGGAACTTGTAGACTGTCAGTAAATACATGATACAATTCATCATCATTACATGACAATGCTTTCAAAGTCTTGCCATTTATGGACTGGACAATATCCTTCCATTAAATAGGAACATTTGAATAATTATATCCAGTAATGCAATTTTCCTGGTGAAGGATTGCCTTTGATTTGAAGGCATATATCTATTTGGAAGACAAAAGCCCCGCTTTTGGCAATGAATTAGTATTTTTAAATCTATAGACCCACCATCTGAACAGATGCAAGACAAGACGCTGATATATTTTAAAATTGCTTGCACAATTTCCCAAACGAGAACGCACTGATCAATAATATGATGAGTGGAGAAATAACTGAACCAGATGTTCACTGTCAGAAAAAAAACGAATTATTTGCTTGCAGAGAAAGCGTTTCTCGTGGCGAATTTACGTTTGTAATGAGGTCTTTCCTGGTTCATTGTCAAGCACGACAGGTTTTCTGACTGCGTGCGCTTGTTATCACGCCGGGAATGTTCGGTAAACATCACAAGTTTGTCAAAAACTAAGGATTGTTTCATCAACGTCGTTCGGCAATTCGATACCAAAGAACGTGAGAGATGCTGGTGTTTTTATTTGGAGAATATTAGAATTATGGTGGTTGGAAAATTCGATTTAAAGAGAGATTAACATTGTGAAATGGCTAAGCGTACCGCTGCACTTATGATCCTACCTTCACCCTCTCAAAGAGGACGCTGGGCATTGAAATCTCCACAAATTCATGAATTGCAAACTGATTTTACAATATCTGCTTTATAAATCGATGTTGATGGATATTTCTAGACCGGATACAAGTACCTTCTTCCAAAATGTAGCAGATGAAATTGCTAATACAACATATAATGCAGGCTGGGAGTGTTACAACTTAAAAGAGCACCCAACTCAGTCGGGCCGATACTTTAACGGGCTTTGCTTTTGCTCGGGCTACCTTAGGTGAAATTCCAGTAAGACAAATAAGGGAAATAGATGGACTGATAGTTGGGAATCCAGACTCCTGCACCCGGGACGCCGCTCTATTTTGAAGCATCAGAACATAAAGAAGGTCTTTAATAGCGTAATCCTTCATTCGGTTAATGTCTCCCTGTCTCCAAATCAGTGAAAGGGAAACAGCTTTCAAGTACAACGACAAACGCGTCCCGTTTATTCCCCAAAATTGACAGAGGGTGTTAAGAATAAATCAAGATAGCATCTCAGCAGAAGTCTGCCAGAACAGATGCTGGGCACCTCTAAAACCGATAGAAATCGTGACCCCCTCCCTCCCACCGACCTTCAAACTAACTTACTGAAGGATGACCCGTATGACCACCCAGTTCACCAAATAAAGGCATTTCCCACCCACAGGAGAAGGGATTCATTTCCCTCTGAATCTTGAATGTTAAACTATTTAACAGGAGATGCGAACTAAAAGAAAATCCATTGAAAAGCGTGTATGGGTGAATTGGATGGCATGGATAACCCTAGGAAACAATTACGAACAATATTGAGTTTATGAAAGCTTTATCTGAAACAAACATAAGTTACTATATGGGAATAGACAAACAATAACACATTTCGAACTATAGCAGTTTTATTTCCAACACTGAAAATAACTCTCCTCATAAATAGCCATTAAACATTAAGGGGTGGCATAACGATTAAGGTTACTCAATGAACTCTGATCAAAAACGGTTCCATAGTCAGACCACCAAAAGCATACAACATAATACACTAGATTAAAGTTATCCACGGTTAAATTAATTGCAATGACATTTTTTTACTGGCCTGGGTTATATCTATTTTTGCAACATTGTACCGTTATAATTAAAAAAAAATCCACCTTGAAATGTACAGCACTTAAGAGATGCTCAATGCATCGCTATAATGACACGCTGCCAGAAACTGCAGTCGGTGCAGTACCACAGAGACAAATATTGCCCTAACGAAATAGTCATCAAGTGGAGTTACCATATTTCCCACGTATGCAAGTTCTACTCTAACCCGACACGAGAAAAAAAAATCTCCTGCTTCTTGGGAACGAACGCGACACAAACTATAAACCAATTCAACCCCACCCCCCAAAAGAACCCTACTGTTTTAGTACATGGGAATGGTGCGGTGCACAAGTGCTGTTTGTAACAGTTTTACAACTTAGGTCAGTGCAACATTCCAGGGAACTGAACCACCCCCCTTGCCCCAAACAGTTCGGGGTTCGGAGGAAGACACACATCCTACAAACATTAGCAATGTCCACTTTGCGCGACATTCCACGGATTTACAAAGGAAAACCAATTGGACATGTTAGATGAATACAATTGCAGCAAATCCGTTTAAATGCAGATTTAGACAAATCTAGTCTAGATATAACTGTAAATAAATACAATTTAAATCGCTGATTGTAGACGTATATACAAAGTTGGAATATTAGACACCAATAAACCTTAGTTTGCCCGTAATATATAGTTTACCATACCAGCAAGTCCTCCCATTTTCGACCTGCAGTTATATATTTATTATTTTGGAAACTAAAATATTGCAATGAAAGATGTTCTCTAATGTCCATCTGTGCTAAAACTCTCCCAGTCTGAGCATTCAGTGTGGACTTAACTGGTTTAAATACACAGAAACCAGACTGCCACCACAGCGAATATTTTCCGCAAAATAAATACATGGCAAGCCAGGACTTAATGCTTTTAAATATTAGAAAGCGACACAGGAACCCAGGAAACTTCTGTCAAGTTTACATCTCGGGGCAGCCAATGGGTGATCGTCAGCAACGTTGGCTTTTTAGTGAATTTTCTGAAATGCAAAAATAGATTGACACATTTATATTCGAAATTTGTTCCCTTCTAGGTTGGGGGGGGCGGGGTGCAGACCCTCTCTTTAAAGAGCAAGTGTGTTAAGAGCGTTCACATTGTTTCCGTGCTCAGATCTGAGATTTATCTCCCAAATAGTCAACACCGATCATTCCCACTGGACAAATCTGCACTTGGAGAGAGTTCAAGGCGGGGCGCTGTTGAGTGCACGTTGAGATAAAAGCCCTGTTTCTAGGTTTGTTTCTGACCACGTTCAGTGATGATCACAGTCTCTAGATGTTCGACAATTGAGCAGACCCGTCTCCCATTGCTTTCTACTTCCACATTAGTCAGTGTTTGGCGCTAAATGCATTTAAATGGGTCTTCTTTAAAGCTTAAAGTTCACGTAGTTTTGCAGTTGGCTTTTGGTTTGATCATTTTGCTTTTCATTAGCTGAAGTATTAAGAGGCAGTTCGCGCGTTGCAGCCCAATTCCTAGGAGTCTCGAATTTCTCAAGGTCTCTCTTTCTCTCTGTAGCTACAGGGTTTTTTTGTTGTTTAGAGGGGGAGGGGTGTTGGTTATTTGCAGACAAACTGATCGACCACCTCTGTGCACTTTTTGCACTTGACATAGCAGCACCAGTGGAATTTACAGTGGCAGCGCTCGGTGCGAACCGTCTTGAATTGGTCATAACCCCGGCCACAACACATCAGCGCACAGCCGTCCATGCCCTCGGAGGTCTTGTTGCACAGGCGGCCTTGCGTGCCCAGGGAGCCGGTGCTTTCGTTGCGGACACAGTAGTCGGGGCTCTGGTCGACATAGACCAGGTCCAGAGCGGTGGGCGGGTTGAAGCGGCTGTTCACCTGAACCAGTTTGCCGCGGCCATTCAGCCTCATGGCGGTGGCACTGTCGTATTTCTCCTTGAGCGCATCGCCCACTTTGCGGAAGTCAGCTAACTGTAACCAGCAGGTCTTCAGGCTGCAAGAACCCGACACCCCGTGGCACTTGCAGGCCACATCCGCCAGGTTATAGACCATCTGGAAGAAACAGCAGAGAGGAAGGGGTTAAAGAAAGAACAGGGTTCCGGAAACAGTACGCTTCCATGGCTTCATTACCCCCAATCTCCCCCCACCCCACCCCACCCACCAGACTGAAACATCACCAATCTACATCCCCCAGACTCTCACTTCCCACCTGCCAACCCCAGTCAAGGGTACCCAACTGTATCAACACCACATGCTCAGCAGTTCAATTCATGCTGAATTTTGTTGGGGTATGGCAGGGGGGGAACATCCTGCTTGACCACCGTCCGACACAGAAAAAAAGTGAGATGCCAGTTGACCCCAATCAAACAAGATCACAGATTTCCCCCAGCAATTCCAAATTGTAGGTGTTATAAGCAGAGAGTGGGACTTCTGCCCCTCCGCGAGAGGAAATAATATCTCCAGGAGCCACTAGGATGGCCTGCAGCCATCACAGTCCCAGAAGCTCCAAACCTCCACCTCCCCCCCACCCCCCACAAAGCCCAGAACTCTGATTGAAGGCAGCTGTAGCACCATGATCCAATTAAGTCCTGGGATTTGTGTGGGGCAACATCAGTGATCCTTGGAGAGAAGGGGGTAGAGGAGGCAGGTTTTGGTGATAGAGGTTTTGGTGCACAGGGCAGCCCTTGAAGCACAATGTTCTTTTACACTTTTTAAAGCAAGCTGGTTGAAAAGGCATACCCACTCCAGCTGGCCTGCCCATGCCAAGAGACGGTTTGATTAAGAATATAAACATAATATTTGGATCAATTTGCATGTTAACAAGCCCAAACAGCATTAGTTACTTTTTTCCAAAAATTATGTGTGTCAACTGTTTTGTGGGGAATGGGTCAGGGTGAGCCTGAAAGCAGTGGACTAACCACCCATCATATTTTATGTACTGCACTTCCACCCCCTGGCCAAAAACAGACCGGGCAGAGGACTGTAAAATTCAGCCCCTGAGAAACATACTCCCAACCTAAAATTCCTACTTAGTCTCTGTCACCTCAGGCTGACAGACTCTCAGACAGACCCAGTTCTACAGGAGATAGGTATTTAAAATTCCCAGAATCCTCTGAAAACTGAATTCAAATTCTGCAATTCTGACTGACACAAGTCATACTGTCATAGGTTTTATATACAGCCGAGTATTTGGCACCCTCTAGATGTCTAATATCTCATTCAGTATTCACAGAGCAAAAAATTATGGAAATTTCTTTATTGCAGTAACACTGATTGTGTTTTTTAAAAAATGCTTTGATTAGTATTCCAGATAGTTGACTAAACCTATTAACTAATTTGTCACAATTACTGCCATGAATGTAAATAATTTCTTCTAGAAAATACTGCATGAACTTTAAATCTGAAGGGAAGAAATCTATTAATACTAGCTCTTCAAATCAGAAGTTAGTTGACCAATGCCTCTACTGAATCTCCAACACGATTTGATACTTAAACAGAATCTATATTGGCTGGGTTGATTATTTCTGTACATGGCCATCAACTCAAAATTTAAACAGGTCCAAATACACGATTACCTAAAGGCACTGCAGTGAAAAGCATTTGGAAATATAGGTCCAAAAGTTTGAAATATGGATAGGAACCTACATTTTCACAAGTCTTGCAATCTGTTTTAAAATTGTACATCAGTTTTAGGTCAATAACTGTACATCAGTTTAGGTCATTAAAACAGACAAGGTGCTCCATGCATGTACACACACAAATCATGTTGAATTACATTAGAAAGTAAGTACACAGTTGCATTGAACTGGTGCTGTGTTAATCACATGGCTAACTTCCATCACTACTTTATTTCCTTGAAATTCATGTTCAACAGGCTTAAGGAGAGCAGTGCCAAAACATGAAGACATATATATCTCAGAGGGAGCAATGAAGAGTGATGCCATTAATGATTTTTTTTAAATCAGAGGTCTGATCAATTGACCAGTCGGTGATGAATTCCTAGGGGAACCACAATAGCACTTTTAGTTTGACAACAATATGGATTTAAAACTGCAAAAACTGCTGTATGGAAAAGTGACTGGAAAAGAAACAGTTACCAAGAGCTGAATGACAAAAACACTACTGCTTGCATCTATATATTGGGTGAATGAGCTTTGGTTCTGTTGACATAAATGGTAATTTCTCAGTTTTTCCAATCCAACAGGAAAAGTATTTACAATAAAAGTGATGCTGTTGTTCAAGGAACAACTCTAAAACAGTTGTGTATACACAATTATGTACATTTATTACAAATATAACCCACAATGCAAATAACTATTGTGTAAATTGATTATAGAAATTAAGCTCCTGTAGAAATATTTAGAAAGCAGAAAATTCTGGTGGTCTTCTGGTTAACATACCTCCCACAAACAATGACATCAAAAGACAAATTCTTTTATTTGCTGTTTATGAGATCTGGCTATCTGTGAGATGGCTGTCATGTTTACTAGGATTAGACATCAAAAGTAATTTATTTGTTGTGAAATGCTTTGCGGCATCCTGAGGGAAACGTTAAGATGGTCTATAAATACTGGTTTTCAACAGCAATGGGAGTAATATTCTGCACTGGAGAACCATTTCAGCAAACTGCTCTAGGAAAGAAATGGGCCTCAAATTACCAGATTAAAACATGTCATAAAAATATTAGCTGTATCTTGATAATGCATTTCCTCCATCTTTTGAAAAAAAAGGTTTGATTAGTGCTCCTGCTGTAACTTTCTTGAGTGGAAATTGAATCACAATTAATATAAACAATGATTCACAGTGTGATCCTATTGAGCCAAATCAGCTGCTGCAAGACTTAGTCATAACCTTATGACTAATCTTTTTCAAATTAAGGGGATAGTTATACTTTGCTCTCATACATTCTGTATTCCTACATGTTTTGCGTAGCTGTATTCCCAAACTTAGGAAGACCCTAGAAAGCCCAGTGAAAAAAAGTGCAAATTTACCTTGAATATTATGTACCCAGGATATAGTTTCTGTGGGGAAACAGTAAGACAATGGAAAGTGTTTCAGAGTTAGTAGGAACTGCAGATGCTGGAGAATCTGAGATAACAAGGTGTAGAGCTGGATGAACACAGCAGGCCAAGCAGCATCAGAGCAGCAGCAAAGCTGATATTTCGGGCCGAGACCCTTCCTGAAGAAGGGTCTAGGCCCGAAACGTCAG